GCAGAACGTGCCCTCTTTAATACCCATCACCAGGCTAACCCATCCTCCCACCCCCCCTCCCCTCTAGAAACCTCAGTTTGTTTTTCAGAGTCCATTGTCTCTCGTGGTTCGTCTCCCCCTCCGATTGAGCAGGTGAGTCTTGATCCCGTGAGTTTGAGCCCCACTTTGGTGGTAGAGATTACTTAAAAACAAAATCTTCAAAAAGAAAAGAAGGAAAAGTTCTTTGCTATGACATTGTCATCACCTTCATTTTCAGATCCCAGTGATTCACCTAGGAACCAGGGAAGCACCAGTAAGAAAGTTGCATAGTGCTTGAATTTCAAGTTCGTGGGACTCCATTGAAAAGACCTGAAAAGGCTCTGTGAGGACATCACTGGGTGTTTTAGAAAAGCACCATGTCTTTAAAATTCCTGAGGAGGTTATTCTTCCTCTTGCAAAAGAGTGTGGCCCCTTGATGCTTCAGTAAGTATGAACAGAGACAAGGTAGAAGAAGTATCCACCAACGGATGAATGGATAGAGTAGATGTGGTATATACATACAATGGAATATTATTCAGCCTTGAGAAAGAAGGAAATCTTGCCATTTCCTCCAACAAGGATGGATCATGAGGGCATTACGCTAAGTGAGATAAGGCAAACAGAGAAAGGCAATAGAAACGCGGTTGCCAGTGGCTGGAGGTGGGGTCAGTGGTAGATAGAGTTGGTAAAAGGGTAGAAACATTCAGCTAAAAGATGAATAGGGTCTGAGGATCTAATGTGTACCATGGTGACTATGGTTGATAACGTTGAAATTTACTAAGAGACTAGGACTTAAATGTTCTCATACACACCAAAAAGATAAGTAGGTGAGGTGATGGATGTGTTAATTAAGTAGCTGGGGGGAATCCTTCTACAACGGATTCATATATCAAATCACCATTATGTACACTTTAAATATCTTACAATTCTTTTTTTTTTTAATTTTATTTATTTGAAGGAGTAAGAGAGCAAGCGCACAAGCAGGGGGAGTGGCAGGCAGAGGGAGAAGGAGAAGCAGACTTCCTGCTGAGCAGGGAGCCCGATGTGGGGCTAGATCCCAGGACCCTGAGATCATGACCTGAGCCGAAGGCAGTCGCTTAACTAACTGAGCCACCCAGGCGCCCCTGGGTCTTGATTTAAACCAAGGACGGTCTGACCCGGAAGCTCCTGCATTTACTACATCAGGCTCAAAGACAAAACCTTGCAACAGAGTTAAGTGGTTTTCCAGTACATATGATTCATCAAATCAAAACATTCAGTTTTATTTAACTGGGCAGAGGTGGAGCCTCGAGATTCTGGCTCCTAGTCAGGAATGATTCTTTTTCTCTTCAGAAGGCTGTTAATTTATTATAAATATTAAAATATATAGTAAAGAGAAGCAGTAGCTGGGAAAAGTAGTTGAGAATGCACTGATCCATTCCTTTTTTCCAGTTACTCCCCTGCCTCATAAGGAATCTAGATCTCTTGAAGCTGCTGATCTTTTTTTTTTTTTTTTTCATTTCCCTTCATTTGCTTAGTATATGCCTTTCCTTAGAAGACCTTGCTCTGGAAATTCTACTCAGGTGTCACCTTCTAAGTTTAGCCTTCATTTCCCGATTTTTCCTCCTTGATATGGTCTATCCCTCCTTCAAATTCCCATAAGCTCTTTATTTTCCGGGTCATATATCATTTGTAATTCTCACTTTAGAATTTGAATACAGTACTTACTTATTTCTCCTATTAGAGGTGGTGTTTTCCCTCAGGACTCATGCCTTACTTATTTTTAGCATCCGTTGCAATACCTAGCACAATACATGTTATTGGGGCTCAATAAATATTGAACAGTCCTTGTGTTTTTTTGGATAAGTAGGCAGAAAGCTAAGGCAGATGAGTAAGGAGCTTCATTTTTATCCACAGAACATAATGGAAATATATATTATGAATCTTCCACAACTATTTGCTTTGATTAACTCCTCATGTGCACTTATTCTTGGACTGAAATTTTGACTGAAATTGTAGGATGAAGGAAATAAGATATTCACAGTGAATGTCTTCAATGAAAGCATATCTGATGTTTGCAAATTTTTAAGAAATGACTTGTGGCATGAAGAGTCACATAGAATACACTATTAAAGGACACTACTAAAACATATATACATTCAGTATATTTAAGTTCACAGTGGGGAGGAATGCTACATTTCTCTTTTAAAGAATGAAATTAATCTAATCCAGGGTCATTTATTTACATGATTATTATACCTTTTAGCTTACATAGTATTTTCCTAGAAATTTAAGTGGGTTTGAAATATTCCTTAGACTGACCATCCTTGGGCTTGTTTCCTCATCTGCAGAACAAAAGAATAGGACTAGGTGAAATGCAATCATTGGAGGAGATCATCAAGAGACCTGCTAGTTGACCTCAGAGCCGGACTCGGGCGATGGGATTCCTTACTCTCTCTTCTGTCCTTGGAATGTAAGCTCTGCCCACCGTTCCCACATCAGGAGCCGCTTCAAGGAAGCAGCCTTCAGAGAGTAATATTATTGAGACCATCTGCTCTGTATAGGAGACTGAACTCTGGTAAAGCTTCAGTATAAACTTTTAAGCTTCTGGCAGGTGGGTGCACAGATCTACTTGTCTTGCAGTTGTCCCAAACAAGCCTTGTAAGAAAGTTCCTTTGCTTCTTAAAACTGCCACCTACCAATGTGGAGTGGTCTGCTTCTTTCTTTGATTTCTCCTTGTCCTCTGAGTATGGCAGCCAGTTTCAAATTTCACCCAGGAAACTCTCAAGGTTGAGAGCCTTGAGATTGAAGTCTCTTCTATATGTCATTTCTACGTACAGATAGAAATATTAAAATGCAAAAATTGAATAACTCAGCGAAGGTCACTCAAGTTAGTGGAGCAGCAAAGCATTCTAACATTCATTATCAATAACCCTTTGGCACAGATTGGCTATGAAGTGAATGTAGTTCAGGGACACAATTGTACTTGAATATTTTTTAGCAAAATGTTATTCAAAGTTATTCACATCAGGGTAATATGAATGAAAATTGATGATGATAGCAGTTTTCATTGTATGTGGAAGAAGTGATTAATGAGTGCTTCATAATATGAATATTGTGTTTAATAACATAAATCATCTTGAATTTTTTTTAGGTAGGTACAGCATGGACTATATTTATTTAATGAAAATAGTGGTGCTATGTGAGGATAAAGTTACTACCAAATTATATAATATAATAAAACTTTAATTTTCTCTACCTAAAGAAGTCTCACAGCTGAAATGGCTTTTAAAAAATATTACCCAATAGGTCTTCCAGATTTCCTTTACTATAACAAAGACACCTTTCTCATTTTTTAAAAAAGATTTATTATTTGAGAGAGAGAAAGAGTCCAAGTAGGGGGAGGGGGAAAGGGAGAGAAGCAGACTCCCCACTGAGCGCAGAGCCTGACGCCAGGCTCAATCTCATGACCCTGAGATCATGACTTGAGCTGAAGTTAAGAGTTGGACACTTAAACTACTGAGCCACCCAGGTGCCCCACCCTTTTCTCATTTTTTATTTGAATATCTTAAGTACAAGAAAATGTCCTACTCTTCATTTCAGTTGGGAAGAATTTGTAGACTTATTTAATTTATTATATTTCTGCTCCCTAGGCAAGATTATACTAAAATCATAATCAAATGAGTTATTGTTAAGTGTCAGTAAGTTCGATTTTTATAATTTTGCATATTTTATTTAACATCTATTACAAATGCCTCACAAATGTCTAACTCCAGGTATGT